AATCAAAGACCATAACTTGAGATTGGTAAATCAAAATGACATGGGACCAAAGGCATTGGTTAGAGGACTTCAAGACCTTTCCAAAATGTCCAATAACATGATCAAAGCTTAAAAATTGAGCAAGATATGCCTTGTGGAAGTTGGGAAATTTTTGGGAATTTTGAAAAGTCAACTTTGCTTCAAATGCCTCAAAATTGCTAATGGGCCTCAATTTCTTCCATGAATCATTACCCAAAGGCTATGCACGACCCATTGACCCAAAGGGGAGTTATTTTCTTATTTTTAATTAATTAATTGAGTTTTTAATCCTATTAATTCATTTAATTAAAATTAAATATAAGAAAAATACTAAAACATGTTTTCCAAATCTTTTTGTGCAGCATATTCCCTCATCATGACCTAGAGATTTCGTGTACCACATCAAGAGGCAAGATCTTCCAAAATAGGCATGTTTTTCATGACAAAAAGATTGAAAAAGATGTGAAAAAATCAAATATTAAAAACATTGATTCAATGGATTATGGGCTTTGTTTTTGACCTAGAATGATTCCTCATACATATGCAAACATAACCTAGTGCATAAGAACAAAAAAAGCTGCGCCCAAGATCAAGAACAAAACTTGCATTTTTCACAAAAAAAGTTAAAACTGTTTTCATAGTTGCAGTGTGATTCAAGGTCTCAAAACTATTCCAAAGGCTTGCTGGGACTTTCTTGAACGTGCCTCAATCCTTTTCCAATCTCCACGTCCAAAGAATTGGTAGAATAAAGTCACACTTTTCTCAAAAAATTTCATAATCGTGTCTCAATATATATGCATTTTTCATACGTTTTGAATGTGGATTTACACTAATATGAAGGTGCTGAAGCTAATGGTACCCTTTGATTTAACTAACAACGCCTATATAGAGATTTGCCATTAATGCTTGCTAGGGTTTCAGAAGCTTGGAAATAGGGCTTTTCACATATGAAAAAATTGAACCTCAAAACCAGTATGATTGAACTCGTCGCAAGGAGCCTGATTCAATGAGACCCTCGCGCTCAATTTATGCAGCCTGTGGACGTATTCGCTATTATTCGTTGTTTCAGTTTGTGGGGGTTTAAAACCCCCGCTATTTAATTATTTTTACAGGTACAAAATGAGGAAGAAGCTATCGTGTCATTGCAGGATTGGGACGTTCAAACATCTGACGCGCTTTTTTTGAGTTATACTATTAATTTTCATTGTGTTATTATAATACTTGTTTCCTATTCCATAGACAAAGCGCACAAACAGCTCAACTGGCAAGGCATTTGTTTGGTAAGCACTGGGACCTGGGTTCAATTCCCAGGTCCCCTTATACATTTCATATTTTGTTCATTTACATGTTCCAGCGTAGCGCCTCTCTCCAAGGACCATCATGTGTCCTCACCATCTGGCTTGCCACGCGCCCAGAGGCTCCATCCAATGGCCAGGACGTGCAGTTCAACATACGCATCAGTCAAACGCTCCTCACATGATCACTAAAAGTCAAAAGGGCCTTGCATCTGTTGGGCCTGAATTTCCAATACACCTCCAAATTGGGCAGAAACCCCCCCTTGTTTGTATTTTCTTTCTCTCATTTTTTTTTCTCTATTATTTATTTTAATTGCTCTTCTTTTGTTTTATTTAATTTACAAAATAATTTTTATAACACAAAAAATATCAGAAAAGTCAAAAATAAAAATATGTTTATTTAATTTTTAATTCATTAATAGTTTTCTTTTGTAAATAAATTCCAATAATCAATTTAGTTTAATTTTAGGTTTAACTTTAATGTTTTTTTTAAATAACTAAAATACATAAAGATTAGGGTTTTTAGCATTTTTACTCTCTTTCTCAATAATTAAATTTTCTTCTTATTATTATTAACCATTAATTAATCTTGTAAATAAACTTGTAATTAGTTAATTAGGACTAAATTAGGTTAAACTTAAACAATTTTTAAAAAAAAAACAAATTTAGAATTAGGGTTTTATTTAACTTTTGATTTCAATTAATTTTCCTTTTTTTCATAAATACCAAAAATATAAAAATAATTTCTTTTCTTTATTTAATCATTAATTAATTTGTAATTTCAATTTAATTCCTTCAAAGGGTCCAACGCCCTCGCACCTTCGATTATAATTTCTTTTCGCGCGTTTGCTTCTATTTTTCATTTTAAATATTATGTAATTGCCCCAAAGCTTTGTAATAGTAATTAGGACATTTACTTTCCGCACTTTTATTCAAAATCGGGTCTTTGTTAATTTGGCGATGTATAGACCCGCGCCGTGTAATAGCGTAGGACCTTTATTTTCCGCATTTTAAATTCCGCACCTTTAAACTGTTAATCACATGAAAGAATGTATGCCCAAATAAAATCAAAGTGTAGCTCACCCAATGCATGACAAGATAAAATATAACTGAAAATGACACACAATTCACACACCACTCCTAGGGTACGCCTCACTGTTGCCTTGCCCCTCGAAACGTGGCCTCGAAACAAGTTGCCTCAGAATAGTTGCCTCGGAATAAAAAGATCAATGGCATAAGGGTAGCTTCTAAGGTGTCTTACTGTTGCTCGGTGACCACACTGTCCCTAAACTCGAATTGACCCGAACACCTTCAACGGTGGTGCTACCTAACTCTCAATGGTGGGATGGCACTACCTTAAGGACATTTACACAGACTAATTCCTTAGGGTAGGTAGATGACTCGTAGATACTTGCTCTAATTTAAAACAAAAACTCTTTTCACACCGACACTTTTCAAAAAAACTTTCAAAAACAACTTTTCAAACACTCTTGAGGACTGATACAAGAGTCGATCTGAAACTTTCAAAGAAACTTTTCCAAACCCACTCACACTTTGAAAAGCAAACACTTTTGAAAACATAATGAGCAAGTATCTAAGAGCCCATGGATAACCATGGATAGAAAGGGTGCTAACACCTTCCCTTTCTATAAATCTACCTCCCGAACCGAGAAACAATCTCAATAAGGAATTTTTCTGTGCTTTTGTCCTTTCCATATTGGAGAAAATAAAAGACGGTGGCGACTCTTGCTTCCGCGACATTTCGCGAACCAACGTTAAACAGTCAGTTCCAGATCCACCGATCACACCTACCCATGGACCACTATCAGGATCATATCTTCTTTGTGGAGGGGGAGACGGTTTGCACGCCCCGTTGTTTTTTCTTTTCGGAAGGATAATATATCTGTCATGATCATTATCGTGCATCCAACATTCACATCCTTGGTCACATTTATTGGGATCTACGTCCCAAATAAAATGACCATTTATCTCGTCAGTGTAGATAGGTTCTCCTTTACTAGTTACAGCATGAATTGGGCACCAATCTTCTTTGAGAATTGGTCGGATCATCATGGTCTGGAAAATAGGAGAAATTGAACTCGATCCTTCATCTGGTTTTTTGAAAATTGTTTTACCGTTTTATCAACAGATCTTCTAAAGGTGGCCTTTTGAGATTGTATTTGTCTTCTATCTTGATGGACTTTTTCATAGTTTGTTATCCACTCAAGAGGAGTTAACTGAGTTAGTTCTTCCCTTGTGATCTTTCTTGGAATCTGAACAATAGAGGGTATATCTTCTTCTCTATTAGTAACTACTAATAGAGAATCAGAAGAACATCCCGTGAGAGGCAAATCTATTGAATGATTTTGTAGACGATAGATTATTTGGTGATGGAGAGTAGCAGACATGGCCTCTGGAACTTGGTCAGATCTAGTGATTTGAACTTGGACGTTTAGTCTTGTAGATATGGTGCTGTCGTTGAGGCTTACATTATAATTTGGAAAAATAGTAAGAACAACGCTTCCCGCATGAAGTGAGGTCAGGACAATCCCTATGACAGCATTTTCATAATGAAGATAGCTCGAATCTAGGAGAGCTATTTTGTAGAAGACAGTCTGGTTTTTCCTTCCATGGAGAGAGATGATGAGTCTAACTGCTCCAAAATGTAAAGCTGTGTATCCTTCAGATTTCCAGTGATTTATGAGACTCTGAGGAATCTCTAAATCCACATACTGCTCTTGTTTTGTTGCTCTCAAACTACATTGGTCTAGTCGAGATGACTAGACGTATTCTTTCATATGAGGGAGATTGGTAGAGATTAGGTTTCTGATGGATCTGGTAATTGTTCTTTGTTTTTTGAAGATATTATAAGGGCTTAAAAGGGGAGGTACTGTTTCGGAAATTTGAGCATCTTCTGGAACATAAGAATACTCAACAAGGTTTTCTATTTTATGGGTATCAGTCTTTTTACAGAGTTTAGGAAGTGATAGGGAAGAGGTGGTGGTAATAGGATGAGTGTTTTGTTGTGATAGCGCCATGGTTAAATATTTTTCTCCCTTACTTACTATATTTATTATATTCATGCCATATGCACCCCTTCTTTCTGTTGAGGCTCTGATACCACACTGTCCGGGAGCCTCACATACTATGAAACCAGCCTTAACTGTATCTTTATTAAACAGCCAACCATAGGCATAACATAGACTAACAATTAAAACTGACATTCCATAATAGTGAGGACCATAGTATGGATCGATGGTCAGATGTTTTCTAATACACAAGATCCTCGTGTTGAGGCAGGTGTAGAGCATACTTGCATCTGTATGGGGAATTATGACATGAATACAATAACTAAAGCTTTTAGGGAGAAAGAAAAGAGAGTTAGAAAATTTTTTCTTAATCACACAAGATGGTTTTTATTCTTATTGCTTATGCCTTGAAATATTACAAGAGGTCTCCTTTTATAGCCAAGGATATTCACAAAAGACAAATCCACACTATTTACACACATGGCATCATTAGTGCCTTATTTCAAAAGTCTGACACCCTTATCCCTTATGGATACATTATTTGTAGTACTATTACACAAAAGGACGAAACTTAACTATTTATAAACATGCTTGTGATTAATAAGAGACACTTGTTCAATTAGTCTTTAAAGATAGGTTCATGACTTGGAGACATATTCTAATCGGATAAGTATTCTTCTGAAAAGCAGTCTCCGTATCGAGATGTCTCTTTTTCCCATACGTCATCCATCATGTAAGCATGGTCTGATATTTTTCTATGAACTTCTTCCACGTGTCCTTCTGAGAATTTAACTTCCATTGGGGAATCTGCTTTTTGTTGTGTGGCTTGAACTGAGCTTTCTCTAACCTCTCGATCTTTATACTGAGCTTGATGAATTATACAAGTGGAGTTAGCATTCATCTTATCTGGTTCATGGAGGTTGATGAAGTTAACATATTCCATTAATTCTCTTGTGACTTTTAGATTTGGAGGATAATCATCAATGGTTTCCCATATATGAACATAATTCTTATAACCAAGTAACTTAGTGGCAGGATCTGTTTGATAGGGCTTGTGCATGAAGAAAACAGTCTTGAATTTGCTAATAGCCTCTGAGGCTAACCCCCTTTCTTTGACCTCGTCTAGGATTGGTTTTAATTGATCTCTCCACCATGTTAGCGGAGAGTACCATTCAAGAGTAGTCCAAATCAAGGATTTGTGGTTCTTCGGATCCATTATGTATTCATACATGGCTTCAGTGGGTATGAGGACAGGCATAAAATATAAAGCAGTGGCACACCAAATATACCATAAATGGTTTTTTGTGAATTTAGCATTAGGGTTTATTAAAATTGGTAGGAGAAATGGTGTTTCTGGGAAATAAGGAGTATGGTCAGGGAGTTTATTTCTTATAATTTTTGTCATATAATAAAAAAGATTATTCCTGGCATACTGCTTAAGTTGTGAGGGTGAAGAGGAGACAGTTATTCCTGGAGGAAAGTCTTTGGTCTTGGAGGCACGGGTTGGCAATGGTTTGACCATGAGAATCAAAGGAAAAGTGTGTTTGGTAGTAATGATCTGGATGGGTTTCATAGGCCTAGAAAGTAAATCAGGAATCACATTTTGATTTCCTTTGATATGTTTCACAATAAAATCATATCTAGAAAACCAATCTTTGAGCCTAAGAGTTTGAGGATCAGGAGGCATCTTATTTTTGAATTCGAGGATCTTAGGTAAAGAGGAATTATCCATCTGGACTTCAAACTGATGGCCTCTCAGGTGAAAGTCAAACTTTTGGATACCCATCTTAACTGCAAGAGCTTCCTTATAAGTGGTATGGTAATGTTTTTCAGCTTCTTTGAACTGACCACTAGCATGACCACAGTAATACTTTATTCCATCAATTTCTTCTATGAAGACGGCTCCCCAGTAATGATCACTAGCATCCCTCTGTAAGATTCTTTTACTGTCTCCCGGGATCTTTAAGGCAGGTGGGATTTGTGCGATCTTTTTCAAGGCTCTTACTGCTTCAGTTTTCTTTGTTCCCCATGGTGGGGGGTTTTTCTTCAGCATTTGAGATAGAGGACTCGTGTATCTTGCCAGTTTTGGCAAGAAATCTCTGATATAATTAATTATACCAAGAAACTGCTAAATCTGGTTAACAGTGAGCTTTTCATCGAGAAAGTTTAACAATTCTTGAGCAATATGAGGCTGAGGTTGATACTTCCCTTGGGAAAAATGCATTCCTAGAAAGTCAATTTCTGTTTGGCCCAATTGGCTTTTCTTCTCAGAGAGCATCATCCCATGTCGTTGGGCTATTCGAAGGAATTGTCCCAATAGTTGTTTATGGGATTTTTCATCTTTTGAGAATAATAGCACATCATCAATATATATGAGGATACTATTGAGAATGGGCTCAAAAATTCTAGTCATGGCCTTTTGAAAAAGTGATGGAGCTACCTTAAGCCCAAATGGTAACACATTCCATTGGTATTGGGCGTTAGGAATGCAGAACGCCGTTTTATAACGGTCCTCGGGGTCGATACCCAATTGCCAAAAACCTGACTTAAGATCGAACTTGGAATAGATCTGGGCATCTTTGATGAAAACATTTAACGACGAGGCCTTTGGAATAGGAAATTTATCATCCTTGAGGAAATGGTTTAGAGGTTTATAATCAATTACTAGCCTCTTTTTTCCTCTTAACTTTTCAGATCTTTTTTCTACATAAAATTCTTGGCAAGCCCATTCTGATTTGGTGGGTTCTATCAGACCTTGTTTGAGCAACTAGTTGCATTCTTCCCTGGCCAATGTATAATCTGATGGACTCATTCCTGGATGAGTGGCCTTGGTTGGATTAACATCTTCATTGAGCTTAAAAGGAAGTTGAACAAAAAAGTCTTTATTTTTCCATAGAGGTTTTGGATTGCAGAATGTTTCATGGCTGTTTACACAGAGTTTGAGTAGGTTGGACTTGATTTCTTCATATCCAGCAGGGATTTTAGATAGTGAATATAACTTCAATATCCCAGAATAATATTTGAATTCTCTTTTGAATTTTAATCTCGTGGGAAGAATCTGGAGTCTATTGGCTGCTGAGTATACATCCTTCCCTACTACAATATCTTTATTTGGAAGATTACTTCCAATGACCTTGGTCCAAACTATGCAGTCGGGGAAGAATTTGATTCCTATCTTTTCCTTGGTCATTAAATATGTCCTGAAGACTTTCCCATCTGCTTCTACAAAGTATGCAGCATGTGTTACCCATGATTCTGCTGGGAGAATGCTAGGATTCATCATTGTAATCTGGGCCCCAGTGTCCATATAAGCTATAACTTTCTTCGGACGGGAAAACTTTGTCGCTAGTACATGAGCTTCAATACATGGGAGTGGTGGAGTAGGAAGAGAGCTTCCTTTCTCTTTGAAGGAGTAAACAGGGAAATATTTGTCATCTTCTGATTCAGAAAATGATGCTTCATCAAACGCAGAGTCTTGAAAGGCAAAAATTGTTTCTTCATCAGCAGAACTTTGTTCAGAATACAAAGATTCTAGGTCTCCATCTAGAGGTTGAAGAGAGTTGACCAGTTTTGCGGCTTTGTGGGTATTATTAGGACATTCCTTAGAAAAGTGCCCCTTTTTTCCACAAATAAAGCATCTCCGATTTTTCCCCTTTCCTCTAAAAGATTTTCTTTTAAAGAACTTCATGGTCTTCTTTTTCTTTCCTTTAAAGTTCCTATGAGATTTGGAGTATTTTTGATGATGTTGTTTCTTTTTTGTTTCACAACTGCACCTTTTGTCTTTACACTTAATCTCCAGATAAGTTTTTTTGCAGGCCTTGGTGAACTTTGACTTTTGCTGTATAACTTCTTGAAATTGATGATGAAAGCTGCAAAGCTTTTCAAGTGCTTCCAATGTCGCCTGATGAATCTGGCCAAGACTCATTGTTGCAATATCCTTTTTAGCTGTTGCTACCATCCTATGGATTTCTTGCTGGAGTTCATGTGGTAGAGACGATACATAGGTATTCTTGAGACTAGGATCATTGTACCCATTGAGGAGATAAAACCTTTGTGTCATCCTGTGATAGTGTTTGTCGAGGTCTTTTGTTTTGAGGGAACAACACTTCATCTCAAGGAATTCCTGTCTATTTTTCCTATCGAACATATCCATATCTCCGATAAACTCCTGGTGGAGTACACCAAGGATATTGGTTGTGCTTTCTAAACGGTGTAACTCATCTTGTTTGAAAGCCCCAAGATTGTGATACCATTCCTTCATCGTGCCTGTCATTCTACAGCAAAATTCTTTAATGACCTTATAGCTATCAGCATTTGTTTTCATCATCTGGGTATCAAGCCATGCTCCAAATTCGAGTAGTCTCTTTCTCCGACGACTAGGCGACATATAATCAAATGTGAACCAAGGACCGCCATTTGGTTTAGTCCTTTCAGGGACTAGAGTTTCTTCAGGAGATTCTTCAAAAAATGAATCTTCCTCTTTTATATTTGCCATGAAGAGTCTTGGGATGTAGTTTTCTTCAGATTGTGATTCTGATGAAAAGGATCTTGGTGTTTCATCACTAGACGTTTCTTGACAGGAGTCTTTGTCATCATCCGAGGAGGACTCGTCTTCTTTTTGTGCCGATGATTCAGCAAGAGAGTAACTTTTCTGGGGAAATCCATAATTTCCAGTGATTGCCATGGCTTGGAAACCTTTATCGGGAATTTCTTCTTCTTTTTGGAATTTTGGAGGAGGTGTTTCAGGAAAATCCTGAGATTCTGAGGATGAAGCGCTTAGACAGGCAGCCTTTCCTTTTTTCTTGGAGGTTGAGGTAATGGTAGTTCTGGTAGATTTTGGTCTGTAAGCTGTAGGTATGTATTTGACCTGATCTGGTGGTGAAGTAACATAGGTAGGGAAGAAGGGAGAAGGTCTTTCTGGTCGTTTGAAATATGTAGGGAAAGTAGGAGGGTCAAGGAAAAGGTTTTCAACAGGCTTGGGCTTTCTTTCGTGTGAAGCTCTTAAGAAATCATCTATTTCTTTTACTTGGCCTTGTAGGTTTTTGATTTCTCTTTCCTTTTGGTCAAAATTTTTGCCAAAAGTTCTCTCTTCTAACATCTGTCGCAAATCACGATCCAACTGAGACACTTGAGCCTTTAAGCTTCTGTAATGCTTCTGCATTTTTTGTGATAGAACCTTGAGATAATCATCTGTCTCTCCTATTCTCTCAGCAATCTTGTACACTTTTTGTCGAGATTTTGGAGGATGTCATTTTGAGAAATCATGTTTTCTGATTGCCAATTTAGAACTTCTTCAGCTTGAGTTAAAGGTTTGAGTTTTCCATCGGGTTATACTTTATTAGGATGAATGAAGGGTTTGGATGTTCTACCAGTGATTGGGTCCATGTTCCTTTCTAGAGCAGGAAATTGTTGGCTATATTCTAGTGCGATAGTTGAGTACATAAAGCAATGGATTAACTCCACATTTTTTGGAGGGTCCAAAACTTTGCAGTAGTCTGACGGTGACCACGTAACCAGAGTAGGATCATTTGGTGGCAACAGTTTTTCTTTCCTGGGGATCTTGAGAGCTTCCTCATAAATAGGAAGATGTTTCTTTTTATCATGGATACCTACCCATGGACCGTTATCGGGATCATATCTTCTTTGTGGAGGGGGAGATGGTTTGCACGCCCCGTTGTTTTTTCTTTTCGGAAGGATAATATCTCTGTCATAATCATTATCGTGCATCCAACATTCACATCCTGGGTCACATTTATTGGGATCTACGTCCCAAATAAAATGACCATTTATCTTGTTAGTGTAGATAGGTTCTCCTTTACTAGTTACAGCATGAATTGGGCACCAATCTTCTTTGAGAATTGGTCGGATCATCATGGTCTGGAAAATAGGAGAAATTAAACTCGATCCTTCATCTGGTTTTTTGAAAATTGTTTTACCGTTTTGTCAACAGATCTTCTAAAGGTGGCCTTTTGAGATTGTATTTGTCTTCTATCTTGATGGACTTTTTCATAGTTTGTTATCCACTCAAGAGGAATTAACTGAGTTAGTTATTCCCTTGTGATCTTTCTTGGAATCTGAACAATAGAGGGTATATCTTCTTCTCTATTAGTAACTACTAACAGAGAATCAGAAGAACATCCCGTGAGAGGCAAATCTATTGAATGATTTTGTAGACGATAGATTATTTGGTGATGGAGAGTAGCAGACATGGCCTCTGGAACTTGGTCAGATCCAGTGATTTGAACTTGGACCTTTAGTCTTGTAGATAGGGTGCTGTCGTTGAGGCTTACATTATAATTTGGAAAAACAGTAAGAACAACGCTTCCCGCATGAAGTGAGGTCAGAACAGTCCCTATGACAGCATTTTCATAATGGAGATAGCTCGAATCTAGGAGAGCTATTTTGCAGAAGACATGTTGATTTTTCCTTCCATGGAGAGAGAGGATGAGTCTAACTGCTCCAAAATGTAAAGTTGTGTATCCTTCAGATTTCCAGTGATTTATGAGACTCTGAGGAATCTCTAAATCCACATACTGCTCTTGGTTTGTTGCTCTCAAACTACATTGGTCTAGTCGAGATGACTAGACGTATTCTTTCATATGAGGGCGATTGGTAGAGATTAGGTTTCTGATGGATCTTGTAATTGTTCTTTGTTTTTTGAAGATATTATAAGGGCTTAAAAGGGGAGGTACTATTTCGGAAATTTGAGCATCTTCTGGAACATAAGAATACTCAACAAGGTTTTCTATTTTATGGGTATCAGTCTTTTTACAGAGTTTAGGAAGTGATAGGGAAGAGGTGGTGGTAATAGGATGAGTGTTTTGTTGTGATAGCGCCATGGTTAAATATTTTTTTCCCTTACTTACTATATTTATTATATTCATGTCATATGCACCCCCTTCTTTCTGTTGAGGCTCTGATACCACACTGTCCGCGAGCCTCACATACTAAAATAAGAGATATGATTAACTTTTTGTTTTTTTGTATGGTTATATCCAAATTAATTTAATATACATGATATAAAATGATTAAAATATAGATCTTAAAATAAATATTACTTCCTATGTCAAAAAAAAAAAAAATAGAAGCCTTTCCAAAATAACATGAAATTAAGTTTCGTAAATTTATTCATGCACTCTTTAACATTGTTTTCGTATATATATATATAACAAACAGGTTTATAAAATTTCTTGTTATTTATATCTATTTATCAAATAAAATTTATATTTCTCTTATATTTATATATAAAATATTATTTAATTAAATAATAGTGAAGGGTTAGAATTTGTTTTTATAAAATATATGTGAGTTGTTCTAGATTAAATTTTTAGTAATAATTTGTTTTCATAATACACTAACGTGAATAAATTATTGATATATATCAACACTATAAAAATAAAAAAACTTTGTAAAATTGTAAAGTACTGTTTAAATTATACTTTTGAGATAGTTGTAAAAGTATCAGTAGAGCTATTAATTAATAATAATTGCCTCTTTTTCATATTGTTTTTTTTTTTTAACATATTCAATTTCATACATAGTACATCATTGTTAAGATGAGTTCATAATTTGAAATATGAATCATGTCTTATAATTTTAACTTAGTCTAAAGGATTATACATAAAATTTTATTAAATAACTTAGAAATACTATGTGTTATTATAAGCAAGTTCATGCATTTCACTATACTAATTTGATAACGTTATAATTAAATTTTCTTTTTTAATCTTATTTTTATTAACATCAATACATTAAAAATAAAAATAAATATAAAAATATAAAAAATTTGGCAATTTATTGATTTCAATAATAATTTTATTTCAAATAAAAATAATAGTAATATTTAAAACTAAATCATTTTTTTATTTATATGTAAATTAAAATAAATATTATACAAAAAAATAGAATAATTATACACCTAATTGTTGATTTCTCTAGAAAATTAAAAAGAAAAACTACAGTAAAATTAAGAATATACCTCATGCAAGAGTCAAGACTCCTGAGGATGGTCAAAGGTTAACAACTCCATTACATGTATTCACTCATTGTGACCTATGGCAACATTGGTATGTCACGGGCATGAAAATATTAACTAAAGTTGAAATGTGACCCTTACAAATTAAAGATTATTTCCCTAAGTTTTATCATTGGAGGGACTATAGTTTTCTCCATTATATTACTATTATTATTGTGATCTATTGATTTGTTATGAGATATATAACAAAGAAGAGTATCACAAGATAAATTATACACGTTTGGTACCTAATGCAAGCTTCTTATTAAGAAATCATAAGAAGACAACAACAATAGTGTTACATAAATCAAGCAAAAACATCATGGATTAAGTTACTTATACCATGAAAGTTAAGCCAACATGGAAAGTGACACAATACCATAAAATCTCCTTTAGAAGCTATGTGTATTAAAGCTTTGTTAAGCTTTGAATTTTTAAGATTGCTTTAGGGGCGTATATTCCTTTATTTACACTCAATTTTTTTCTTATCATTGTTTTGTGAATAATAGTTAAGTACTTCACAAAACTTAGCAACATTTTCTATCATTGGCTTATAAGAACAATCATAGGGTTATTTTTGGTGTCAAACAACATAATGGATATCTCATTTTCCAATGAGTTATGCTACTTGAGTGCAAGTGGTTGTAATCAAAACCAAGATATGTTCTTCTATAGTGCACCAACTAGTCCTAGTAGACTTAAGTTAAGAGAACATATTGGTTCTCAAACAGGTCCTACAACACCAACAAGATCATATGAAGATGTTAACTCCAATCTAGATCGGTTTGAATTTGAAACGAGTCGTCGTTTTAATCATAGTGAGTTGATCGGCGTTAAGGTGAACCGAAAAGATGCGAAAGTGTTTGAGGAACATCAAAGGCTTTGTGAGGATTCATTGCCTACTATGGCTTTTGCTGATGAGTTATTTTGTGATGGCAAAGTAATGCCGATGATGCTTCCTCTTAAACTTCCTCCAAGGCTAGTTCAAAATGGAGATAGTGCTCAAAGCTCGAGGGCGACGTCTCCTAATAAGTCTCCGGCATCATTGCTTAGGCTTCCGTTTTCGCGGTTGTGGAAGAATGATGACTTTGATCCATTCAAGGTGGCTTTTGAGAAGGTAAGAGAAGATAAGAGAGGGAAATTCAAGGGTCGAGAACATGGTTTAAGAAGGACTAGATCTCTTTCTCCGTTGAGGGATTTCAACAAGTACAATAAACATGTTGGACAATCAGAGTCACGTAAACATGATGAGTCGCATTGTTGTGAAAAACTACCTCTAATGTCTTTTCCAGAAGGTCACATGTTACGCGAGCTTCTGGAAGAGCCAATGCATGAAGCTTTAGGAAGAGAAAATATAGTATCCGAGCCGAAAGGGTTGGCATATGCTAGACAAGTGAGAGAAGTGAAAGTAGCTAATGATGCAAACTTTGAGTTTGAACCTAAGAAGACTTTAGTTTCCAATGCTGCTAAAGAGTCAAAGAAAGATGAGAACAAAAAAAATGGTTTTTGGACAAGGAATAAGAAGATAGAAAGTATAAAGAAGTTCTTTTTTGGGAGTTCAAACAAGGTTAAAGCTAGTGATCAACAGAAGTTAGAAGATAAAAAAGCAGCATTAGGGAAACAAACATTGGTGAAGAAACTTGACATGAAATCTGTGTCATCAACACAATCAGCCTCATGGAGTAGAGATGAAATATCAGGTGAGTTTACAAAAATGAGATTGGTTTGTCACAGACCATTGCCAAAATCTTTTCTCTGTTTGGGTTATGAGGGATGGAAAGTGAAGTGATTAAGACATACCATTTCTACATAGATTGTAGAATATAGTTGAAATAGAATAATGGACTCGCTATTTTAGATTCATTCTGTTTTTCAGTGTCGACGTATTAATACCGTATATGATTATTATCTCTGTATATGTGCTTTATAGATTGAAATATATATTAGTTGTTTAGAAATTTTTGTATGAATTGGCAGATCAATTATCCTTAACCATCTTCCTCTCCCACTCTTTTTAAATGTGTATTTGGATTGCCAGCGAGTTTGACAAAATTATGATATGACCATGATATCGGCAAAAACTTACCAATTTTAAACATTCTATATATTGTGGAATGAATGTAATTAATTTACATTAATTGATATTGAACAAGCCTACAATTTTCCATGAAAAAATTGTGATAATGAAAAAGAGGAAAGCAAGCTCAATGTTCCTTTGGCTTAATGAGAATCCTATTACCCTTTCTCTCTAATGCAGAAGAATCTGCTAAATAAGAATACTAGTTTTGACATATGGAAAATTTGATGTTATTAATCCAAGACTTCAGAAGGCCAAATGCTTCTCCAAACGGAGATTTCATTCTTACTCTTGATCTTTCTAATTCCACCGTAAAATCCGTCGGCCTCGTTTCCCTCCTCCCGGTGATCTTTCCTACTAATAGTCGTCTTCCTCCAACGTGAATCAGTAGTGTACTGATTGAACTCTAGCACCACTGTGTCTGCAAATAACACATAATAAAATGTCAAACAAACTAATTTTAAATAATAAAAAACACATGGGAATGACCAACATCTGTAACTAGATTGTTCATGGTTCGATTCAGAAGGAAAACCAACATTATGGTAAAACTGAACTGAATCGCTACTAGAGTAATAGTTCATCCCAAACCGTAACAGAGCTACTTTTTTGCAGAAAATTGAACTGTACCAGATTGCTTAAAAAAATCAAACCAAATTGGATGTTATGATTGTCTTAAAAAAGAAAAATCGATCCAAACACGCCAAAAAGAACTGAACTATTACCGATTCAGCTCAATTCATGAACTGTCAGTCACAGTTCGATTTTTTCAGTTACGATTCAAATTGGTGGAACAGTTGGGTTTGGTTTATGGTTTTTTTCATAGTCCTATTTGTAACTTTTCAATATTTATTAGAAAGCTTTTGACGGTATATGTGCAAGTAGGCAACATCATAGAGGTCATTCAAAAATTCGACAAAAATTGATAGGAATATGAAAAGAGTAAGAAAAACTCTGTTGTCATGCTTACACAAATAGTAAGTGTCTTGCATGGTTATTTATTCTGATCATTAATAACCAATATCAAAACTATAGAAAAAGATTGGCACTTTTTTTAACATAGCTGGCCATAAAGGTATCTGTCCATCCACTGAGACATGAGTTATCAACATGTTGGTGGAATCATGACATCCTGACCATGATTTGTCTGGGGGACCAATATAATAGAGCATAACAAGTGGTCCAATTTTTGACATATTATCAAGAAAGGAACCTAGCCTAAATTGTGGTCTGTTAAGCCAAGATGAACTTTACATTTATGACATTTTTCACTTTGCAACCTCCACAATGGAAGACACAATAATGGCATAAAAGATTAACAAAATATATAATCAATAAAACAGTATTCTAATCTTCAGTCAATTACTAATTATGTCACTACATATAATTTAGTAATATTGAAAACAGAATTCATCTGCATCTTGCGATTATTTTTAAACCAATTGCTAAATCGCATCCTCGCATAGATCTTCTAGATAGTTTTTACGCAAAACAGGTTCGATTTGAAGGGAAGAACAGAACATGGATTAAATGAATGATAATACAGTATCCAAAAGAAGATAATGAATGATAAATACACATATTCAAAAGGAAAATGCATTAACTCACCGTTATCGTGACAACGGCAGTAATTTTCATTACCATCACATGACTCCAAGTGGCCTACAATACCATACCACCAACCTGCCATGAAGGTGCATCTCATCAAACCACTAATGGAAATACAAAATTAAGATTGAAGAAGTGATTATTTTCGTCATAGACTCGTAATTGGATCCCATTTTGTTGTAAATATACCTAACCTTACACCATCCAGAGAAAAAAAAATTAAATGTTTAAAAATATGTTGAATAAAGAAACAAACCATAAGGAAAATCTTTGTTTCTCCTCCACTGAATCTCTATGTGATCACCAGGATGCAAATCATGTAGACAATCAGTGATATGAAGATCGTGCGGAGGACTATCGACAGGCGGTGCTCTTAGCCTTTCCCATTGGATGCCATGCTCTACTGCTGCAGCCCTTCTTCCATGCGGCGGATACCTGTAACAGACAACTATTTAAGCCACAACAACACAAAAATCTAAATCCCTCCTTTTTATTAACTTTTATCCATTATTTTCCTCGTCGAAACTCTTCAAAAGAAAATTGGTATAATTTCCATTTCTATGAACTATGGCCACATAATAGATACATACAGAAAAACATAAGGTTAATGAAAATCATGTTTAGTTACCTTGCTTGGAAGGTGTCGGTGTGTGGATCATATGTAACCTCAGCATCATAGCATGATAGCATAAAACCAACATGGCCATTCTGCAGAAGAAGAAAATATATAACTTTTGAGAGAGAGAAAAAAAAACCAAATGATACTGTATTTGACATCAAAATTTTAATGTCAAAAATTCATTTCTGGAAAAAGCGCTAAGAGTTACCTCTCGGTTATAGACTTGAGCAGGAAAAGAGAAATTTCCATTCTCAAGAGCAAGATACCAAGTCATGAAGGAATCAGGAGGCAAAAAATTATTCTGCTTCTTAGCACCGTTAATATAAGCAGCATCAAGCTTCATTCTCATCCATGTAAAAGGCCAACGAAGGGACATAAACATGATCAAGCTCCTTTGTTTGCCATGTCTGAGACTTCCAACATTCTTTTGTGAAGCAACATGCCATTTCCACTCCCTATAAGCAACAGAACCAATAACTCTACCCCATTTCTGTTTCATGTGTCTCTCCCAAAGGTGATCACTCACACATCTCTCCCTCAACGAATGACAAACGCCAGCCATTTGACAAAGCGAAGACGGAGGTAGCCTTTCAAGAATGCTATCCAACACAAGCTCAGGCAAATCCAACACAGACAAATCGTGTTGTGACGAGTCTTTCTCCTCCTCCTCCTCGAGATTCTCTACTTTTGAAACAAATCTCTTCTTCACAGAAGACATTCTCGAAACAAATGTCTTCCTTAACAACTTCGAAATGGATTTGACACACAAGTCTTTGTGAAACAAAAGGGAGATCAACCTCACCTCATTTGCCCATGATGGAAGTGGTTTTAGAAGGAGAAGTGGTTTCAGAAACAGAAAGAAAGAGACACAAGTAATAAAGTAAAGTAGCATTAGAAAATTTGATACAAAAATATCTTCCAAATGTCAAGTTTGAGCTTTGCATATATATATATATATATATATGGAACAGAAATGGCTAGCACAAATGACAATTGACACACACTTTCCCTCCCTTTTTTAGAAACATTCAAGCAATTCAGAAACCTTTTAAAGATGGGTTTTTTATTGGCTCAATGAAAAGCCCACCAAAACCCAATGGTGGGCCTCCCAAATCAAAGCTTTAGATCAGGTAGAGACAGCCACAAGAATGAACACTGCTATGTCTATATGGTCACAAAACAAACCTTAAGCAGCTTAATACTAATAACTCTCTCTGAATACTTTTCACAAACACATCCCAAACAATATATGAAGAATAAGAAAAATCTCTTGGATTGATGAACAAATCTTGTATAGAATAAAATTAATGTCTAAGATGTCTAAGATAGAATAAAATAATATAGAAATAGATCTAGCAAGTTGGTATGTGAAGTAAAAACACCTCAAGATCTACAAAAACAACGCAAAGTAAAGTAGAATCAATAGAGAAGAGAAGATTGATTAAAAAGATATTAATGAATTGAAGAGGATGGTGATGATGAATGTGAAAGGTAGGTTAGGTGGGACCTTTTTCCTCCTCCTACCTTCAATCCAACAAGATTCTTCACCACACCTCAATTATTAATTATCTTCTCCTCTCTGAAATCAAATCAATCAAACAAAATGAAGAATTTCCCTTTCTTTCTTGTTGTTTTGTGGGTGGGGCAATATAGCAAACAGATGGTGGGCAATGAATGAATGAGGAAAAAATTGAGTTGTTTATTTATGCAAGTTGAATGGGAGGCTAAGGTTTTGTTAGATTTTTTTGTGGATGTCAAACACATTTCAATGTCAAGCCCCATTCCTATATATCATGCTATGTATATGATATGACCAATCATGAAAAATGCTTATAAATTAATGAGACAATAATTTGTCCCCATAATTATAAAACTACTATTCTATTGAATCTTTTCCGTTTAATCACAGATTCTTAGATCTGAAATACATAATGGTATAACATTTCTTTGTGTAAGAAAGTTAAAGTGGGAGGAAAATGTCTGACCAAAAAAGGCAACTAAGTTGGATAACGTATACGTATAGGACAACAACATTAGAACAACAAGATTCGTTACTTATTTATTACTACAATAACATTAATTCGGAGGTAAGGGTTTGTGATTTGTTATAAAGATATACTAGTACTACTTTGTTACACAAGTTGCTTCTCAACATTCACTTTCAATATCTTTATCCCATGCTTTTCTTTTTATTTGCAATCAAGTTTTTGTTGAAATACTTTATATTTAATAAGTGATTGTATTTGTTTCATAAATTTACATAAATGTAGTTTTATTGAATAATCAAAATCCTCTTAAATTTTTGGAGACACTTTGTAAATTGTATGTAAGTTTTTGTCGATCATAACAAAATAATTATTAGTCATATTTAACAATGTTTAATTTAGATAAATATTTTACAATATTTTATTTAATTATGATTTAATTATAATAAATTTTAGGTCTTATACGGTAATCTGGCTTGAACGTTTTTAAAAATTGGCTTGAATATAATATTTTTTTTAAAAACTTTTATATAAGATTTTCATATTCTAACAGAAAAGTCGGTGGCAACTCTTGCTATTCGCAACATTTGTGATAAAATACAAAACCCAAAAGTCAATTCTCCCACCGTATTACACTTGGCATGTCCTCATACGACCAAGCAAAGATCTCAACATAGTCACGCAACATCTGTATTAAGCTCTTTTTGACATCGTCTTCTAGGTTGGCACATATCTTGATTTATTTATTATCCTCTTCAGTGCCCAAGTTCACAACCTCGACTGACTTTTCATGTGGTCATATGGCCCTTTCTTCTTGCATTAACAACCTAGCAAGATCTCCAGGTATTTCACTATCTTTCTCAACTTCATCCTCGGCTTGGTAGATCGGATTTTCGAAGTCATAATTGGCAATGGCATAATTGTTATCAATGGGATCCAGAGTGGATATGGATCTGCAATTTATTGTGTGGGTGTGTGTAAGAATACATAGCTATTTTGAAAATAATAAAGTAAAAGAAAGACAAATAGTGCAAAATTTGAATGCAAATGTCCAATGATTTATTAAATGAAAATATACCGATGAATAATGACAACCCTAACAAATGGACCATTGTGCCCCAGGTAAGGCACAAGGCTTAAAGTTCATTGTTTAAATTACATAACCAAAAAACTTAAAAGTAAGAAAACTGAAAATATCATTTACTCCTGACTAAAGGAGATTGGTATAAATTCTTCACTCTTCCAATTATTGAGCCCACTGTCGGTAGTAGGGAAGATCCAATTGTCTATGTCGCAGTCACTATCAGCGTCTTCCACAGTGTTGACATAATTGTTCTGAACCCCATTGTTGTTGATGTGGAATGGCGATTTCCCAGAATTAGTACGAGCACGACGAAAAGCCCTCTGAGCCCTTGAAGTTAAATCCAAACCAAACTTGTTGGATTTGTAACGAATATCGGGAAGTTGACCCTAAACAGTGCAACCACCTTCTTCAATCACATCCCTAGCGTATTTCAGAGAAGCCATTTTTGATGGAGTCTTAGGAACCACAAAAGCAGCTTTATCAACCGAGGTTGTCTGAGAAACAACTTCAAAGGTCTGGTAGGGAGTCTCAACGAATTCACCATCCACCTCGACATACTTGAAAGAGTTAAAATGGCTCACCATGTATTCTTCTTCACCATAAACTGTAACAATCTTTCCCTTTATGGGATAATTCAATTTCTGGTGTAGTGTAGAAGTAACAATACCTGCCCCATGAATCCAAGGGCGTTCGAGCAAACAATAATAGGCAGGAAAAATGTTCATCACATAGAAAATAGAGTCAAAGATCTGGGAACCCAATTTTTTTGGAAGATCAATCTCCACATGCACCATTCTCTTCGAACCATCAAAAGATCTTACCACAATGTCATTGGGTTTTAGCACAATCCCCTCGTAGTCAAGTTTGTCTAAAACAGGTTTTAGCAATACGTTCAATGAGGAACCTGTGTCCACTAACACATGAGATAAATTAGTGCCCTTACACTAAATATATACATGTAGGGCCTTACTATGGTCCTTCCCATGGGAGTCAGGCCAGCATTAGAAAAGCCTAACCCATTATCAGTTGTCAGGTTAGCAACATAATTTTCGAACTGATCAACAGAGATTTCTATTGGTACATGAGCAGATTTCAGAAATTTCACTAAAGCCTGAGCATGGGCTTCAGAGCACAACAACAGGGATATCATAGATGTTTTAGAGGATGTTTGCTCCAACTGTTCAACAATCTTGTATTCACTCTTTCGGATAATCTTTAATATTTCCTCCATCTCTTGCTTGGAGGGGTCTTCAACAGTAACTTCTTTTGGTGCCTCATTCTGGACAGGCTCAGTCATCTGTTTTTCACCTCGATTTTTAGTAGTTGGTTTAGTAGCGGTGATACGAACCGGTGCAGTAACAGCCTTCAGAGAGATCTCTGGAGAGAAACCCCTTTCACTTCTGGTAACCTTACTAGTCTCAACAAGATTTCCAACATCGGGATCGGTAACTTCAGCATTTTCAATCAACAATTCTTACTTGACACCATGGTAGTAGACATCAGTTCCATAATTCCAAGGGATAGCCTTATCAGAGGAATATGGAATTGGTCCAAGTGAAGTAATAATCAGAGGAGTAACTCTAGTGATAAGTACTTTCAATTATTTCTGCCCATTGGCTAATTTCAGGAACATCTGTTGGAATTGGCATTCTGAGCTTGGAGATCTTTGACTGTTTGTTCAAGATCCATTTTTCTGCTGAAATAAACACCAAGAAGATGAGAAAACATGTCTTCAGAATACCTGTTATGATATGCATGACATGTATATGTATTGAAATGTTTTCAAGGATCTTATGGCATAAAAAATATTGGGAAAAATCCGGTTGCAGCTTTGTCTTGAAGAACTTTGAGTTTTCATCTTTGAACGTCCTTATATCAAGCTCACCATGTCAAGTGGGTCCTAGCCTCTGACTCAATAGAATGTATTTTGATCTTTGACGGGCATCTGATTAGAGGAAAATAAATCCTCTTGCCCCTTGCTTGCAATCTGGCTTATGACAATCCTGCATCAAAGGTCCCTAAGATCCTTGAAACGGTTAGTAAAAATGCCATGTCATTATGTTATGATGTCGTGATGTTATGTTCATGTTTAAACAATTAGCAAACACAAACAAATCACACAAGAGACTTAGGTTTAAAGGCTTGCATGAGGTCCATAGGTAAGTACCCTTCTCTATTGAAGTTAAATTGGCTCAACCTATCCTAAAATAGTAACCGGGTTCTAGGGATCTCATATCATGGATCTTTCTCGAAGGTTTTATTTTAGTACAACAACTGACTTGCCACCAAAACATCCCGCGAGTCAAATCTTAATGAGCGTATCGAGTATCAACCAACTTTGGATTGCACCAAAGACGACCATCTCACTACCTTCTAATGGCCAAGATGGGTCAATAAAGGTTCTGAAATCTAGTTAGTGCTAATGACACCATGCAGAAGCCTAATGTTATCCTCTACTGACTCAAGGAACATTAGAACAATCCAAAGTGTCGCACTAACCGTAGCCATCACTTCAACCATATCGGTCTATGCCGTACAATCTTCATGATCTATTGCTACTTACCTAAGGCATCCCTAGATCCGGATGTAGGATCTTGCAAGTAAATAAACTCAAGCAACCCTTAAAGTAAAGCATGAAAAACAATCAATTAAAGCAAATAAAGTGATATAATCGTAAGGCAACCCTTTTTTTTTAAAGAAATCTCCAGCAGAGTTGCCAGTTCTGTAATACGGTGGGAGAAATGACTTTTTTGTTTTATCCAAATATGCAGATAGCTAGAGTCGCCATCAACTTTTCTTTTATCCAATATTTAGGAAAGATGA